TATTCAATAAATGGTGTTGGGAAAATTGGACAGGTACATGCAAAGAAATGAAATTAGACCACCAAATTACAAACATAAGAATAAACTCACAATGGATAAAAGACTTAATTGTAAATTTCAAAACCATAAAAGTCCTAGAAAACATAGGCAGTAAAATCTCAGACATCTCTCAGAGCAATGTTTTTGCTAATATGTCTCCTAGGGCAAGGGAAACAAAGAAAAAAACAAACAGATGGGACTACATATCAAACTAAAAAGTTTCTGCACAGCAAAAGAAACAATCAACAAAATGAAAACAGAACTCACTGTATGAGAGAACATATTCTCCAATGACACACCTGATAAGAGGTTCATCTCCAAAATATATAAAGAATTTATACAACTCAACACCAGGAAGACAAATTAAAACCAAATAATGAACCTCACATCTGTCAGAATGGCAATTTTCAATGAATCAAAAAACAAATGATGGTGAGGATGTGGAGAAAAGGGAACACTTATGCACTATTGGTAGGAATGCGGACTGGTGCAGCCACTGTGGAAAACAGTATGAAGTTTCACCAAAACTTATAACTGGAACTGCCTTCTGACCCAGCAGCAATCCCACTTCTGGGAATATGTAATCATCAATTCAAAAGAATATATGCACTTCTATGTTCATGACAGCATTTTTTTTACAATAGCCAAGACCTAAAAACAGCTCAAGTGCCCACCAGTAGATGAGTAGATAAAAAAGCGGTGGTACATTTACACAATGGAATACTATATAGCTGTAAAAAAGCAAATCTTACCTTTTAAGAAAGCATTGAAGGACTGGGAGAGTATTATGGTAAGTGAAATAAGGTAGTCAGAGAATGACAAGTACCATATGATCTCACTTAAATGTGGAATCTAATGAACAAAATAAACTGATAAACAAAATAAAAACAGAAGCATGGATAGTATATGGAATAGACTGACAGCTGTCAGAGAGGAGGGGGGAGGGGGAACTGGATGAAAGAAGGTGAAGGGATTAGCCAAAGAACATATAAGTGTAATCTATGGACACAGACAACAGTGATGGCCAGAGAGAAGCGGGGAGGGGGTCTGGGTGGAAGGGGTAAAGGGAAAGAAAATGGGGACATCTGAAATAGCATCAACAATAAAACACTTTTTAAATGTGAAAAATATAAAAAAAATAAAAGGTAACATGTCTACAGCCAATTTGTTTGTTTATCACAATCAACTAAAATTATCCAGGCCTGATGCAATTTCACTGATTGAAGGATCATCCTGTGTACCAAAATGTTGCAGGTTTGAACATACCTAGGTTGCGGGTTTAATCCCTAGTCGGGGTGTGTACGGGAGGCAACCAATCAATATTTCTGTCACATCAATGTTTCTTTCTCTCTCTTCATCTTTCTCTAAAAATCAATAAAAAAAATCCTCAGATTCTCACAAATCCATCAACAGGGAGAAATCCTGAATAATGGATCTGAAAGTTCTTATGAGAAGGGAATTCAAAGGGCAAGATGGGCATAGTAACCATAGTGCAGGCCACTACCTCACCACAGTTCACTGTCTGAGTACTCACTGCGTTTACAGTTTAAGATAAACATGAAACAAATGAGGCAAACTCCACACTCTTCTCCTACCCTACCCCCCAAATCCCAGAGTAACTGCCACTGTGAGCTAAGAAAAAATACTGCTTAAACTGGTACATTAGTTCACAATATATAGTTTTTAGAAATCTCAACTGAGGTATCCTACGGACAAAGAAGTGTTCTGGAACATGAGTACTTTGAAACCTATTAACCACAGGAAGTGATGAACAAGCGTGGCTGATTGACTGGCAGTGCCCAAATCCCAGCTATCAAGTATTAGAATCCATGAAGTATTTGATATTTACTACAATACTTTTTGTTAACTATTTTAACTTTCTTTTGAAAAACTGGTTATATTACTGATCATTTAGATTATTGATGATAACCTCTAGCCTTAAAACAATATTGATGAAGCTGGTCAAGAATGAAATTTCCACAAAAAAGCAAGCAGGGGCTTGGCCAGCACTTTCTTTAAAAGCAATTGTGAATGTTTACTCTGGCTGTATGGACAATTTTAAAATATCATATAATTTGTTCATCCATTTTTCCCAAGAGGAATCACATTTATCTGATTTAGCATCCCTTTAAACAGTCTTTTGAAATGGAAATAATTATAAATTCACAAAAAATTTGAAAAATGGCACAGAGAAGTCATGTGTAACTATCACTCAGCTTCCTCCAATGGAGGAAGGTGTCAGTCATCCATAACTGTTGTGTTCGTCAAGACCAGAAAATCAGTATCAGCAAAGTACAACTGATTAATCTATCAAGAATTTCTATAGAAACTCACTGAACAAAACCTGAAGTATGAATGATAGACAGAAAAGTTCACATGTAAGCTTTGATGAATTTTCAGATCAAATAAGCCCATGTAACCAGCATGCTAATAAGAAGCAGATATGCCAGCACTCCAGAGTCACCCTTCCCATCTACCTCCTTAAGATTTCTAACAGCACACAGAGGCATTGCTTTTATTGTTTTCATAAAACTGAGCCATACTGCATATTCTCTTTTGTCTGCCTACTTTCGCTCAGCATGGTGTTGGCGGGACTCATACATAATCCTGCATGTAGTAGCAGACTGTTCATTCTCACTGCATTACAGTATCCCATGGTGTGAATATACCATCACTTAACAAATCCACTAGGTGGGCATGTGGGTAGTTTCCAGTATTGACCTTTTATGAAGACTGTTTCTAAGAGTATCCAAGTACGTGTCACATGCATTTGTGTTGGGTATGTACTAGGAGCAGAACTGCTGGGCCACAAGGTATGTGTTTGCTCAGCTTTAGTAAATAGATATGGCTACTTAGTTTTCCAAAGTGGTTGAATTAATTTACACTCCCTCCAGCAATGAGTGTGAGTTCCACTGCTCCACAATTTTTCAGTTTACCCATTCTGGTGGATATTTAGGACATGTTTTAGAAAGGAGAATTATAGAGTTAAACACCAAACAGAATACTGGTAGAATAACCAAAGCAATAATTTTTTTTCCAAATAATCAAGACTCTATCTAAAGTATTTTATAAAGCAACACAATCTAAAATTCCAAAATCGCTCTTAAAATATCTTCTTATTTGATTAATTAAATCATCCTGAGTTGGTGGTATGGCTGTATTTTCCAAACATGTCTAATATTATGAATCACTTGGGATGGTGATTGTAAAAACAGATTTTCAGACTATCTATCAGATCTCCTGAAGAAGAATCTCTTTGGAAAGGCCTTGGAATCTTTTCACAAGAACCTACGAGATTCTTATTATCAGGCAAATCTGGAAAACACTGCTATAGGGCAATCCTTTTACATTAACTGTTTAAAAATAAATCAGAGTGGAAAGTTATTACTTTGGGGATTTCTTTGGAAAGTCCCAGCCCCAGAACCTTTCTGGATATTGTCAAGTCCTATAATAACTTTAGAGACAAATATTATTTTAATAGTTGGATAAACTGAGGCCAAAAATGCCTTGCCCTGGGTCCTTGGGTAATACCAAAACTACCAGAGAGGGTTATGTGTGATAGACAGCATTACTGATTATTTCCAATCTTCAAAAGAAACCAGTTTTTCCTACTAACAGGGCAACAAAAAAAGGGAATCTGTAGTTTGAAAGGATTGTACAGTGTCATATAGGAGACAGAACATGAAAAGTGGTTACATAAAACTTGGTTTCAAATTCAAGTGCAACTAATGCCTGTGGAACTGAGTAAGGCCAAGTCTCATTTCTACCCTGTTTTCTTCTCTGGAAAATGGAAACATCACCTATCTTCACTTTGTTGGGAGCATTAAATAAATTAAGATAAATGAAAGAGATGAATACACAGTAGGAATTTAATAAAGTCATTATTTTCCTTTGTAATATAGTTTTCCATCCTCTTTTTTAATTGCTCACTTATAAGCTTAACTAAGGGAATGTTTTGTAAAATTTTCTAATTACCTGTATATTACAACTCAGCTTTTGTGAGAGAAGTGAATAATTAAAGTTAAAAAAAGAAAGAAAGAAACTGTTTAATTCCACATTTCCACATTTTCCTTTACTTTCATCTCTGTTGATGGAAACTGTCAGTCCTATAACTTATGGCTGAAAATGATTACAAACAATAATTTGGAAAAATGTAGTAACAAGGAATAACTTGAGGTAATAGAAAACTATAATTTTAAAATAAAGTTGAACTCTTCCAAAACTAGAGAACATTGCTAAGGGCTATATACAAATGACTTTAAAAAATAGTACTAAAACCACTTGAAGAAAGCCAACATTTCAATTTAGTCTTTTAGACGACTTTCTAACATCAACATATTAAGTAGTCAAATGGCATTTATTCTGAAGATCAAAATGCTTCCAGAATCACATTTTATTTGCAAGAATGCCTGTGAAAACCACTTTCATAAAAATAGATCTAATTCTGTGTACTGAAAAGCCTACCATATTTGGATTATATGGCTATGAAAGGCCCATTTAACACTATCTGCCAATTACTACATATAAAAAGTAATTAAGGTTTATATTATAAGAAGCCTCCTTCAGCTCTGTGAGGTTTGGTCTTTCTAATCTTAAAGCTGGGGAAAAACTCTGGAAAACATTAGCACTTATTTTAGGAAACAGAATAGCTAGACTCCTATTTAGAAGAAAATTTGTAAATAATAATTTAATGTCATATGTGTATTAAAATTCACCATAAAAATGAGAGTAAAGAAGCTATAGTTAACAAATATTCAGGCCAAGGATCTGTGTAAATTTGGGGCAAATCCCTCAGTTTTGTGCCTCAGTTTTCTATATCAAATGTGGGTAATGTGACTACACACTTCGCGGGCGGAGTCTAGATGAGGAGGGCTGAGAAGGGCACGCGGGCTCAGACATGCCACGCGGGCATCGAGCAGTCATCAGAGCAGTGCTGGCGGCACTGAACAGGCAGAACTTACGGGGCACCGTCACTCCATAGTGCTGTGTGTCACTGATCAGTAGTTTTCGTTTCAGTTCATTCAAACCTACACCTACAGGACCTGAAAAACAGAATTAATATAAATTCATTACTGAACAAAATGTCATATAAACATTTCTATAACTGACACAAATCCAGAGGACATAGAACATGCATCCAACTTTACATGCATCCCAAATAAAGAGATTATCTCCAGTTGAGTTGTATGCAAGAAAAAGCTAGCTGGTTCGTTGCTGTTTTTTACTTTTAAAATTGTAATCCCATCTTTTCATGAAAAAGATTAGAAATATTTATGTTTAAATGAAACACACTCAAGAGTATCTGAGTACATTACCCAGTAATGGCATCCAGAAAAGCCTAAAAAATATGTTCACCTAAAAAAACAGAATTTTCGAGGACAGAGAAAAATGGCGGCGGAGTGAATGGAAGCTACACAGAGCATCTCCCAGGACCAAACTGGAATTACAACGAAAATAAAGACCATTCGTCAGGAAGGGACAACCGAAAGGCAGCCTGGAGGACCACATAACCAGGGACACTGACTCAATCCTGGTAGGCTTGTGAAGACACGAGAGGGGGCCGGAAGCCCACGGTCTGCAGCGGCCTGGGCGGGGACCAGTGAACTCGGCTGGAAGCTGTGCCCTCGGCTGGGTCCTGTGGCCTCGACTGGGTGCTATGCCCTCAGCTGGGTCCAGCAGCCTCGGCTGGAAGCTGCTGCCACCTCGGCTGGGACCTGCGACCTCAGCTGGGTCCTGTGACTTCGGCTGGGGCCAGCGGCCTCGGCTGGAAACTGCACCCTCAGCTAGATCCTGTGGCCTCGGCTGGGATGAGCAGCTGCCTCGGCTGGGTACCACAACGTTGGCTGGGTCCTGCGACCTCTGCTGGGTGCTACGCCCTCAGCTGGTGCCTCAGCCTCAGCCTCAGCCGCCCTTAGCTGGGAGCAGCACCCTCGGGTTAAAGTCCCAGGCGGCTCCACAGCGCAGAGCCGGGACAGAGGCTAAATTGGCAGCAGCCACTTACCTTGGGCTCCGGCAGAGGGAAGGCAGACTCCACTGGAACTGTGTGGGGACACTCCGGATATGGAGGGTGCTCAGAGCTTTTGCTGAGTGCAGCCACGCAGGACTGTGGTCATATTACTCCTTCCCAGGACCCTGGGGAGAGGTGGCGGCCCCTCCCTCAGAGATTCAACCCCACCTGGTGGCCATTGAAATGCTAACTGAAGCCCATTAACAACCAGCATCTGCCCCACTCTTGGAAAAATCCTTTTACATTGAGCACCTAAGAGAGATTTTCAGTCAACTAAGAAACCAAGGTTCTTCAGGTGACCTCTACTAATAGCCTCCAGGCAAAAAAGCTAGAGGATAATTACCATTGCCCCAGCTAGCAACTATAAACAGGAGAGTTAAGACTTGACACTGGTGTTTAAAGAGGGTCCTCCCTGACTCATCCAAACCCAGGGAAGCCACAAACAGCAGAACACCAACACCCACAAGAAAATTTGGCAGACTCCAAAGCCCACTGTGATAGCCAAAATGGTGAAAAACAGAAAAAAAAGCCAAATGAAAGAACAAGAGACCTCTACCAAAGATGAGATAAATGAGGTGCAGTTAAGCAAGTTAACAGAACTAAAATTCAGAGCCATGATCTTGAGGAAGCTCAACAGCATGTGTAAGGACATAAGCACCATGAGTAAAGACACAGAAATGTTGAAAATCAACCAGTTGGAAATTAAAAACCAACAGGAAGAAATAAAGAATGATATATCAGAAATGAAAAACACACTGGAAGGTCTAAAAAGCAGAGTAGAGGAAGCTGAGGACCAGACCAGTGAATTAGAAGACAGGGTAGAAAAAATCAACCAATCAGAAAACCAAAAGGAAAAAACAATTAAAAAACAGGAAGACACCTTAAGAGAACTGTGGGTCAACTGAAAATGTAATAATATTCGCATCATAGGAGTCCCCGAAGAAGAAGAAAATGAGCAAGGGTTAGAGAATATGTTCAAAGAAATAGTGACAGAAAACTTCCCTAATTTGGTGAAGGAAGAAGGCATTCCAGTTCAAGAAGCACAGAGAGCCCCAAGTAAGAGGAACCCAAACAGGCCCACACCAAGACACATAGTAATTAAAATGCTAAAAATTAAAGACAAAGAGAGAATCCTAAAAGCAGCAAGAGAGAAGCAACAGGTTACCTACAAAAGAAACCCCACAAGGCTCTCAGCTGACTTCTCACAAGAAACACTGCAGGCCAGAAGGGAATGGCATTAAGTAATCAAGGTTATGAAAAACAAGGATCTGAATCCAAGACTGCTCTATCCAGCAAGGCTATCATTCAAAATAGAAGGTCAAATAAAGAGCTTCCCAGATGACAAAAAAAAAGGCTAAGGGAATACATTAGCACCAAACCAGCACTGCAAGAAATGTTAAAAGGACTGCTGTAATTAGCAGGAGAAATGGGAAGAAAAATAGAACCATACTAAACAAAAAGGCAATCAATAAGTACATATCACCTTAAATGTAAATGGATTGAGTGCTCCCATAAAAAGACACAGAGTAGCTGATTGGATAAGAAAGCATGACTCATCTATATGATGTTTACAAGAGACCCACCTCACAACAAAAGAATCACACAGGTTGAAAGTGAAGGGATGGAAAAAAATTTTCCAAGCAAATGGAAAGAAAAAAAAAGCTGGGGTAGCAATACTCATATCTGATAAAATAAATTTCAAAATGAAGGCCATGACTAGAGACAAAGAAGGCCACTACATAATATTGAAAGGATCTATCCAACAAAAAGATATAACCTTAATAAATATATATGCACCCAATAGAGGAGCACCAAACTATATTAAAAACCTTCTGGAGGACTTCCAAGGAGAAATCGATAGCGATACAATCATAGCAGGAAACTTCAACACTCTGCTGACATCACTGGATAGATCCTCTAGACAGAAAATTAGCCAGGAAACAGAGACTCTAAATGAAGCACTAGACCAAATGGATTTAATAGATATCTACGGAGAATTACACCCCAAAACTACAGAATTCACATTCTTCTCAAGTGCACATGGGACATTCTCAAAGACAGACCACATGTTAGGGCACAAACTAAGCCTCTACAAGTTCAAGAAGACTGAAATCATATCAAGCATGTTCTCAGATCACAATGGCATGAAACTAGAAATCAATTGCAAGAAGAACATACAAAGACATTTGAACACATGGAAGCTAAATAACATGTTATTAAACAATGAATGCGTTACTGAAGAGATCAAGGAAGAAATTAAAAACTTCATGAAAACCAATGATAATGAAAACACAACACAAAATTTATGGGATGCAGGAAAAGCAGTTCTGAGAGGGAAGTTCATAGCACTACAGGCCTACCTCAAAAAACAAGAAAAGTCTCTTATAGACTATCTAACCTCACAACTTAAAGAACTAGAGAGCAAACAAACAAACAAACAAACAAAACCAGAGCAAGTAGAAGGAAGGAAACAGTAAAGATCAGAGCAGAAATAAATGACATAGACACCAAAGAAACAATACAAAGGATCAATGAAACAAAGAGCTGGTTTTTCGAAAAGATAAACAAGATTGATGGACCCTTAGCTAGACTCACCAAGAAATGAAGAGAGAGAACCCAAATACACAAAATCAGAAATGAAAGAGGAAAAGTAACAACTGACACCACTGAAATACAAAAGATCATTAACAGTTACTATGGACAATTATATGGCAACAAATTCGGCAATCTAAGCAAAATGGAGAAATTTCTAGAAACATATTGTCTCCCAAAACTGGACCAGGAAGAGATAGAAAACTTAATAACAACAGAAGAAATTGAAGAGGTAATCAAGACTCTTCCAGCAAACAAAAGCCCAGGCCTGGATGGCTTCACGAATGAGTTTTACCGAACATTCAAAAAAAAAAAAAACTAACACCCATTCTCCTCAAACTATTTTTAAAAGTTTATGAAGAAGAAGACTTCCAAACTCGTTCTACGAGGCCAGCATAATTCTAATTCGAAAACCAGAAAAAGACACTACAAAGAAAGAAAACTACAGGAAAATATCCTTGATGAACATAGATGCCAAAATCATGAACAAAATACTAGCAAATCAGATTCAGCAATACACCAAAAAAATTATTCACCATGACCAAGTGGGATTCATCCCAGGGATGCAAGGCTGGTACAATATTCGCAAATCAATAAACGTGATACACCACATAAATAAAATGAAGAATAAAAAGCACATGATCATATCAATAGATGCCAAAAAAGCCTTTGACAAAATCCAGCAGCTCTTTATGATGAAAATGCTCAGCAATGTGGGAATAGAGGGATCATATCTCAACAAAATAAAGGCCATATATGAAAGACCTACAGCCAACATCATACTCAGGGCAAAAAGTAAAAGCATTTTCCTTAAGAACAGGAACAAGGCAAGGATTTTGCCACTCTTAATTAACATAGTACTGGAAGTCTTAGCCACAGGAATCAAACAGGAAGAAAAAATAAAAGGAATCCAAATTGGAAAGGAGGAAGTGAAACTATCATTATTTGCAGATGACATGATACTATACATAGAAAACCCCAAAGACTCCATCAAAAATTTGCTAGACTTAATAAATGATTTTGGAAAAGTAGCAGGATACAAAATGAACATCAAGAAATTGATGGCATTCTTATACACCAATGATGAACTCATGAAAGAGAAACTAAGAAAATAATCCCATTTCCCACTGTGGCAAAAAAATTACGATACCTAGGAATAAACTTAACTAAAGAAATAAAGGACCTATTTGCAGAAAACTACAGATCATTGAAAAAAGAAATAGAGCGAGATATTAAAAAGTGGAAGCACATACCTTGTTCATCGACTGGAAGATTTAACATCATTAAAATGCCCATATTACCCAAAGTAATCTATAGATTAGATGCAATCCCCATCAAAATACCAATGGCATACTTCACAAAATTAGAACAATTATTTCAAAAGTTCATATGGAACCAAAAAAGACCTCGAATAGCCACAGCAATCTTGAAAAAGAAGAACAA